ACATCCAGTCTACTTACTCCTGCCAGTTGTTCGTGATGACCATATTGGCATGATAGTCACTGTTACCACGCCTCTGGTACGTTTTCAGGGCTCCTATTTGCTGCGAGTGACTCAATGGCCGAGAGTTTTTCAGGTCTTCCATCAGCTTGTGCCAGCCAGTGCATCTGGCAACACGACTGCCATGCCCAGATTGGGCCTCGATCATACCCCGGCATGTTCTCCTAGGGCCACTGTATGATGGAGTCCATCTCGAACTGTTCGAGATCATTAGACCAGCTGGAACCAGCTCGGAGGAGACTTGCAGTGCTGAGGGCTCCACTCAGTCAGAGAGCGCAGGCAGCTGGACAAGCGACCTCGAAACTGAAATACAAGGAGGATTCAGCCTATTGCAGACACGGGCAACAGTGGTGATAGGCAATGCGTCAGCGGTACAAACCCGATCAGCAAGCATAGGCTGTAGGGTCACAGCCAGCGAGTCCCAAAAGGGAAAAAAGATGTCGCTGCTTCAAGAGAAGGCTGATCGAGTCCCCTTTCGGCAGCACTCTGAGTTTCTATTCGCACAGAGTCTGGCTAGTGAAGACCTCCATGTGTCGCGCGGCTCATCATGGGGGGAGTGCCATGTCCCGCGATACAGGCCGACTGCAGTGGTTGAAGCATCGACCAAGATTCCACCTCCTGGGAATGGTAAGCTTCCAGAAAAGCAGTTCGTTTTAACCCGAATGTTGAAGTGAATGGGCAGGTTTGTAATGACGAGTTGCTGAGTACCTCTTTTGGGGTCAGTTTACGGCAGCGTTGTCAAGACATGATGCGTCGCAATGAAGACCTGGCTCATAATAGGTTTTTGCATTCCTTTTTGCGGACTGGAGTTCATCGTGAGTTGCACTGGCAAGAGAAGAATGCCAGCAACCCAGCTGCATTAGGGTCAGCATGGATATGGACACCAGGTGGTCCTGTATGGTGCCCAGATGTAAATGAGTTCCGAAAGAGTCTTGGACATCCTTTCTGCCTCATTTCGTTGGGTGCTTTCGGATTTAAGGAAGGCTTTTGTGTCTGTGATGTGCAAAGACGAGTGATGCCTGTAGTCTTTCGTCATGTCACTTCCGATTGGATTGCCATTAGATACTTCGCTATGCATACCACTGCCGGTGAAGTTCGAAAGAAAGACGACACTGTATATCAGGTCCATGTCCCTGATGACTTTGTCGTGCATAGTTGGGGTCACGTCGGCGATGTGCATACTAAAGCCGATTCAATCAATTTAGCAGCGTCTGATACCAAGCATGCATTTTCGAATGACGCTGTTCATTGCCACAGTCGGTGTTTGTTGAACTTGCAAACCCTGTTGCAAATGCCCTCAAATCCTTGGAGGTGCACTATCGGTTGCATTCCTGAAAGTTGGCACACCAGACTGCATGCTCTTTGGCAGCGGCCCCTCGTTGACTTGCCTGGTGGCTTGCAAGTACATGCAGCTACTAGCACTGCTTTGGCACATCAGCCTGGCCCTGAGACCTCTTGGACTCATGAAGCATCTGTCATATATGTTGATGGATCCGCCACTAAGCACGGTCAGGCCTGGAGTGTTGTTGCCACCAAGCAGGGTGTTGTCAGACAAGAATGGTCAACAGCGCTCCTTCGCATATGCACAGGGAAGGTCATAGTTGAGCCAGAGCACCCACATTGGATTGGGGCCATGCATGCGACAGCATTGAAGCTGAGCTCTCGGGCATTTATGTGGCCTTGGCTTTTGCACTCTCGTTGCATTTGGATGTGAAAAAATATTGTAAAGCCAGACCTACAATATGCTTGCGAGTTGGTTGATGGCATGGTTGCCCTCAGGGCTGATCACCCCCTTTCACGCTTGGTAGCCTCCCTCGGCAAAATTGCTAGAGATCAAGGACAGTTTGCTGCAATCAGGGTTCAAGCTCACACCGGTGAAGCATGGAATGAGTTGGCAGATGTGATTTCTAAGTACGCTACCCAACATGGTGAGTTAGGTAATCCTGACTTCGAGTGGTTGCAAGAAATTGCGAAAAAACCCGCGCTTGTTGAGTGGTGGCCGACTCTATGCCATAATGCCCGCGCTGCAGCTCTTCCAGAAATGTCTGAAGGCAGTATGGTGATCACACAAATCCCAGAGCCCATCGCAGCTCCGTTCGAACAACCGCAGTTGAGTACTGTGGATACACACCAATTGCGCCTGAATGTCACGTCTTACAATGTGTTATCGTTGTTGGATGATGGGGGCATTGACGCGACTGGCAGGAGAGGGGGGCATAAGAGCAGCAGGGTGGATATTCAGCTGCACCAGCGAGCCATCCATGTCGCAGGAATGCAAGAGGCTCGAATGCAAGAAGGAGTTTCATATACCGAGCATTACAAGATCCTTAGCACTGGTGCCGTTGCGCCCAATGCTGCCAAACAATTTGGATGTGAAATTTGGTTTCATCGCACTCGATCTTGGCTGAAAGATTCGGAGGTGCCGCTTCAACACACACAACTGGCCGTTCTGTGTAGTGAGCCTCGATTGCTGATCATTCGTGCCGATAACAGCCTTGGAGTGTGGTTTTTCGTTGCGGGACATACCCCAAAAAACACCAATACGCACGAAGAAGTAGGCTTATGGTGGAACAAGCTTCATCAGCAGTTGCATCACATTCCATCTGGGGCTCATGTGGTCCTCATGCTTGATACTAATGTCACTCTAGGTAGTCTTCAGAGCGAGGGAATCTCTGACTATGGTCAGCAGGCGCCAAATGGTGCTTCGTGCTTTCTGGAGCGGTGTGTAGAAGATCATGAGCTGTTTTGCCCTGCTACTTTCGAACACATCCATACTGGGCCGCACGGCACATGGCGCCACCCATTAGGAACATGGACACGTATTGACTACGTCATTGTGTCCAAAGGGTTACAGCGTTATTGTAGACGTTCTGCTGTCTGGCGGGCATTCGACGGTGGATATGCACATGATGATCATATTCCCACCGTGCTAGAATCTGCTAGAATTAGCTGGAGAATGCCAGGCGGGAGTCCCAATGCCTTGTAAGATTGATTGTCAAGCATGCAAAGACCCAGAGAAAATTGATATGTTCCGTCAAAGGTTGCAGCGGCTTCCGATTTCAGCGTGGAGTATGGATATTGACTTGCATGCTACATGGCAACGGGAAGCTATCTGCACCATTGCTGAAGAGGTTTGAAAACCCCGCAAGCAAACAGAGAAGCCTCCTTGGATGCAAGCCTTTACTCGTAATCTCATCAGCTGGAAAAGGCATGTGCTTGATGTCAGCCGAGAAACCAGGGATGTCGTATGGCGGCAGATCTTTCGGCAAGAGCTCCGATATATGGAGCGTGAAGTTCGTAAAGCTTGCAATCATGATCGACGGCTATATTTCGATGGTGTTGCGAAAGATCTCGAGACTGCAGGCCAAGCTTGAGATATGAAGGAGGTGATGCATCAATTGTCGCGGTTAGGAAGAAAGAGAAAAGCTGCTGCCGTTTTTCGAGAGCTTCCTATGTTGAAAGACTCGCAGGGGTGTGTGCTTGAGTCCATGCAAGAACAGCAGAATGCATGGTTCAATCAGTTCTCCCATATCGAAGCCGCTGTAGCAGTTTCGGAAGAAGAGTTGGCAAGAGCGCATTGTGGGAAGAAAGGAGCATCTCATGATGTCAGCCTTCAGGAGCTTCCATCGCTTTCGTTGGTTCAGCAAAAGATTCGCCGCCTCAAGGGAGGTAAAGCGGCGGGATTGGATGCCATACCCAATGAAGTCATTCGTGCAGGTGGCCCGGTGATGCGCGCCATGCTGCACGAATTGATTCTCAACGTGGCTGCGCATGGCAGGGAGCCCCTGCAATGGAAGTCTGGCGTTGCTGTCCCACTCTACAAGAAAGGAGTGGTTACAGAGCCAGCCAATTACCGGGCATTTTTCTTATCTGACAGCATCGCGAAACTCTCGCATAGCTGCCTTAGAAATCAGTTGAACCTCACTCATGAGGAAATTGCTCACAGTGCTTGCTTTGGTGCAACAACAGCAGAAGCCTGCGGCTTTTGTCTTTTTAGATTTAACTGCAGCATTTTATAGTGTCCTACAACAGAGTTTGTTTGGCCACAAGCTGAGTGATCCTGACCTTTGCCTTTGTGCTTTCCTTCGGCACACGGGAGTTTCCAGCGCTGAACTGAAGGAATGGGGGACCCAAATACAGACTGACAATGCCTTGAGAACACCGTCGGATCATGTATCTTACTCATGATGCATTCGAGCAGGCTCACTTTCGCATGAAAGGTTTAGACCATATTGCTGCAACTAAGCGCGGCACACGGCCGGGAGACTGCATTGGGGATGTGTGTTTCAATCTGATAATGCAGATCATCATGAGGGATGTTAGGACGCAGCTCAAGCAAGCAGGGCTGAAAGATGTTATTGAAACAGGCATCAACACCATTCCTCAGGGAGATGAACCCGCTGCTTTTGTCGAGGTTGCCTTCTTTGACGACATCGCTTTCGGAGTGCTGCATGACAAGCCTGACACAGTGCTTACTGTCGCTTCTCAAATTCTTGCAGCCCTGAGTGATGCTACTCGAAAGCGTGGCTTGAAGGTCAATTTCAGCTGAGATCCTGTTCTTTGCTAAAGGTAGAGGATCCAGGTCGTTAAAGCAACAGCTGTTTGTCGAGCATGATGGCACTATTCCGGTTTGTCTCGAGCATGGCATTGAGAAAGTCAGACTAGTCCAGTCCTATAGACACCTTGGGTCGTTCCTGCAGACGGATGGAAAACCTGCTAGGGAGGCCAGGCATAGAGTCAGCTCAGCCAAAAAAGTTTGGGGTCCATTACTTAAGCCATTATGGTCCTCCAGGTGGGTGTCGCAAAGGACAAAGCAAATGCTGTTTCGTAGCCTGGTATTGCCGAGGCTGATGTATCAGGTACATGTCTGGGCGTGGCTACCTCAGGATGGGCTGGAGCCGCTCCAAAAAGGATCAAGCCTCTTGTTCGGTCACAACTCCAAGGTGTGGAGCCCTTTCGGTTGACTACAGGAGAGCTTGCTGGCCTAGCCAATATGCTGGACCCGCTCCATCAAGCAAGACTTCAGGGTCTTGCATTTCTCAAGAGAGCTTTGCGTTTCTTGCCAGACTGCATTTGGGCCCTAGTGGATATGAATGGGCATGAGAGTTCATGGGGTTATACGAGCTTGCAAGATTGCCAGTGGCTTCGTGAAATGCTGCCGAAGTGTAATTGGCCTCCGCAAGATGCATCTTTCGAGCAATGGAGGCAGTATGCTCGTGAATGCCCAGAATGGAAGAAACGAGTCAAGCAAGCAGGTATGGCCATGGTCCGCTTTCTGTTTCGGAACGCCAAGCATCGAGTCTGGGAATTGCAGATGGAGGATCAGTATGCGCCTCATGGCCTCGTCTCAAATGTTTTCCTTCCAAAAGAGGTCTCTTTATGCATGCCACACACGCGCGCAACTATAAGCCTGAGGTGCGTTACTATGCAGCGGGCGTGTTCCAAAGAATACCATTGCCAACCAAGACTCATGCAGCACCTGCGCGCTGTTGACACGTGCTTGAACTGGTTTTGTGCTGCTTTCCCGCCTCTGACAGAGGAGCAGGTGGCTGTGCTTGATAAGGCTGATCGTACTTTTGCCAGTCAACAGAAAGAGCTTGGCTGGAAAGTCAACTACCAGAGTTGCGGGAGCTAACCTCCCTCACGCAGGGACGCCTGCAGCTCAGGCAATTTTTGCTAGGCTCAACGCTGCACCAGCCCAAGCGCATGCGTGGGATAATGTGGCAGGAGTTTGGATTGGTGTTCCTAGCCAGGAGGCCATGAGGAGGGTTGAAAAAGAGACGGACCACATCTTTGACAGCCCGGCCGGTCCGAAGATGGGGCAAGGAGGAGTCTTTGCTTATGACTCCATTTCTGTCCTGGATACGCGGATGAATGTTGTGAGTGTGGTTTTCCTGCATCTTTTTTCCGGCTACCGAAGGCAAGGAGATCTTCATCATCACATCGAGAGTCATGAATGGACGCATGGAGTCGAAACTTTCTGTCTTAATATAGACCTCTGTGTGCAGGGTGATAAAGGTGACCTCTTAAGCACCAAACAAATCCAGATGAGACGTGGTCAGTGGCCAGATGGATTGGAGGGGGCCCCCCTCCGCTGCGTGATAGGCAGCGATGCTGGGGCCTCCCATCGGTCACACGGAAGCAACACCAGCAATTGCTGGTGGGCACAGGGCTGCTGGAAGTGATCATCCAGCTGTTGACCTTTTGCGTCCAATATGGAGGCTGCGGCTTTGTGGAGCACCCTCAGGTGCCTACTTGGATGTATCATACACCCGCACCATCGATCTGGAGACTGCCGGTGGTACGTGCTCTTGCTGAAGCTGATGCTGTGGCCGGCATTTCCTTCGATCAGTGCATCTTTGGAGCGTGTGGAATCAAACCTACCACATTTCTGGTTGCAAGGATGCCACACTTTAGGATCCTGGTACGTCAGACGGGGCTCTCGGGGCGTTGTCACCACGGACCAGGAGCTTATGTTGGGCTAGCTGGCAAGAAAGATTGCAGATTCAGAACAGCAGGAGCGAAGATATACCCTGAGGCTTGAAACAAAGCCATAGCCGCAGGTCTCCATGGTTTTGTCCACAGGCTTCAACCGGTGAAAGCTGGGCGGACTCAGCTACCGTGCGAACTCGAAGAGTATATCGCGCACGAAGTCCACGCGTCGACCGATGTACAGCCCGACTACTACGGTTGAGGTGGTAGACATGCATGTTTCGTGCAAGAGTCAACTGACTCAGCATAAGCGAAAGGAAAGGGCATTTGAAGGAAACAATTTCGAAGCATTTGACGCCTGACGAAAGGGAGCAACTTTCCGCAACTTGAAAGTCAAACAATTCACACTACGCAAAGCATGGGTTTGTAGAGTTACAATCAGATATGTCTGAAGTAACTGCGATGGAGTTAGACCTGTGCAAAGCATGGTTTTATAGAGTGATGATCAGATATGTCTGAAGAAATTTCCATATAGTGGTTGCACGTCAACGAAAAAGAGTATCAGCAGCTATATGGGCAAAACTTTCGGAAACGATTCAGTTCTCCGCTTTCAGAGTTTGGGTAGACTATCTAGGACGCATCATACATGACCAGTCTCTCTGACAAGGCTCTCCTTAATTTTGCTCCTTGCGCTTGAGAGTTCGGTGTATTTTTTTCCATGACTCGTCCTGGCGCGGCCATTTTTAAACTTAGCTCGCACAAGTGCAGGGGGCAAAGTGTTCAAAGCTTTGGGAAGGACTAGGGATGGACACGACTGCCGGCATTTCATGGGCGGGCCGCGCGAGGCAAACGGTGGGCGAGAGAGAGAAAGAGAGAGAGAGAGAGAGAAACAGAATTACTCTATTATATAGGAAAATAAAACTAAAAACGAACCAACAAACAAACCAAGAAACCAAACAACAATCATTATCCAAAACATGGATAGTCTTTTGCTTTTGAATTTGCAACAGTCCGTCAAGATGTCAACTGTTGTTTAGACTTGTTCTATCCGCCCTTCTCGCGCATCGCCTGGACAAGACTATGCTACATGGGGGGCTTTCCCATACCGGATATTCGAGACTGTTTAAACAGCTCAGCAATCTTTCCCCAAAGAACTTGATCTGCTGACTGGAGTTCTGAGACATTTGGGGGACGCAATCCACTCTCGGAATCAAAACGTTGACTAGCGTATGCCAAAAAACGATGAACGTACTTCTTGAGAGTTGACAGATGTGCTCCCTGGCAGAAGGCAATGGCGGTCGCCTGCAAATGCAAAACATGGGACAACTGCTGGAGGCCAATGTTGGATTGAGGGATGTCTCGAACTGGAATATCATCGATCAAGAGGTCTGATAACGCTGCAAGATCTGTTCGAGGTGCTTTGCAAGCACGAAGTAAACTGGTTTCATCCTGGAGTTTTGCACTCAGTCGATACTTCCAAGGAATCCATTTCCAGTCCTTCCGTTGGAGTTGCTGATACGTCAATGCTAGCATGCGACTGGAATCCGACTGGAAGGCATGAGGTCTGGGTTCAAGAGTTCTCCTGGATATTGACGCTCAAAAGTATCACGCAATTCCCGAATGAGATCTGGCCTGAGCTTTGCGGGAAAGGGCTCATTCCATGCTGAGCTTGGGCGAGAAC